GAAGCTTCTACTATTATTCAAGATATATAATCAGTTTGCACAGCGCTTTACAATGGAAGAGATGGATGGAGGACACTGGATACAGCGAATGTTGGGGTCCGGGGATATAGTGAATGCGGGGTCCGGGGAGGGCGGATATAGTGAATGCGGGGTCCGGGGAGAGCGGATAGAGGGAATGCGGGGTCCGGGGGGAGCGGATAGAGGGAATGCGGGGTCCGGGGGGAGCGGATACAGGGAATGCGGGGTCCGGGGAGAGCGGATACAGGGAATGCGGGGTCCGGGGAGAGCGGATACAGGGAATGCGGGGTCCGGGGAGAGCGGATACAGGGAATGCGGGGTCCGGGGAGAGCGGATACAGGGAATGCGGGGTCCGGGGAGAGCGGATACAGGGAATGCGGGGTCCGGGGAGCGAGAGCGGATACAGGGAATGCGGGGTCCGGGGAGAGCGGATACAGGGAATGCGGGGTCCGGGGAGAGCGGATACAGGGAATGCGGGGTCCGGGGAGAGCGGATACAGGGAATGCGGGGTCCGGGGAGAGCGGATACAGGGAATGCGGGGTCCGGGGAGAGCGGATACAGGGAATGCGGGGTCCGGGGAGAGCGGATACAGGGAATGCGGGGTCCGGGGAGAGCGGATACAGGGAATGCGGGGTCCGGGGAGAGCGGATACAGGGAATGCGGGGTCCGGGGAGAGCGGATATAGTGAATGCGGGGTGAATCCGGGGAGAGCGGATATAGGGAATGCGGGGTCCGGGGAGAGAGGATATAGGGAATGCGGGGTCCGGGGAGAGAGGATATAGGGAATGCGGGGTCCGGGGAGAGCGGATATAGTGAATGCGGGGTCCGGGGAGAGCGGATATAGTGAATGCGGGGTCCGGGGAGAGCGGATATAGTGAATGCGGGGTCCGGGGAGAGCGGATATAGTGAATGCGGGGTCCGGGGAGAGGGGATATAGTGAATGCGGGGTCCGGGGAGAGGGGATATAGTGAATGCGGGGTCCGAGGAGAGCGGATATAGTGAATGCGGGGTCCGGGGAGAGCGGATATAGGGAATGCGGGGTCCGGGGAGAGCGGATATAGGGAATGCGGGGTCCGGGGAGAGCGGACGTAGTGAATGCGGGGTCCGGGGAGAGAGCGGATATAGGGAATGCGGGGTCCGGGGAGAGCGGACGTAGTGAATGCGGGGGGGTCCGGGGAGAGGGGATATAGGGAATGCGGGGTCCACATAAGTGTTTTACGTAGTACTAATAAAAGGCTTCCAGCCATATTACAATACAATCTGATGCATTGAGCCAAACAAACACAACGGTTCCCAATAGAACATTCCGGCATAGGGCAGACTATTACAACCAATGAACCACCAGCACAACCACAGAGTCACGTATTGTACAATACTAACATTTTCCAACATGTCTGAAGAGTCAGTCCAGTCACAACAGACAACACTGATCTGGACAAACACCCCAGATCCAGAATTAACCACCATCCTTTACCGCCCCGACACCAATGCAGACAATCCACACCAGCCGTGCCCACCAATGCAGACAACCCAGATGCAACTAAGAACGCCAAACATGGCGGAGAAGAGCTGGAACTATAAGGGGGAACCTCACGGCTGGAATCGGCAAAAAATATGAAATGTCAGTTTGGTGATCGCACACAGCAGAGCCGGCCATCCAGGGTCCAGCACTGTACAGGTTCACCACCACCAGCAGCAGGCCATACCATACGCCATACGGTGAGGGGGGGGGGGAATGAGGCGCGGGGGGGCGGGGAATGAGGCGCGGGGGGCGGGGAATGAGGCGCGGGGGGCGGGGAATGAGGCGCGGGGGGCGGGGAATGAGGCGCGGGGGGGGGAATGAGGCGCGGGGGGCGGGGGGAATGAGGCGGGGGGGGGGGGGAATGAGGCGCGGGGGGCGGGGAATGAGGCGCGGGGGGGCGGGGAATGAGGCGCGGGGGGGGGGGAATGAGGCGCGGGGGGGGGGGAATGAGGCGCGGGGGGGCGGGGAATGAGGCGCGGGGGGCGGGGAATGAGGCGCGGGGGGCGGGGAAATGAGGCGCGGGGGGGCGGGGAATGAGGCGCGGGGGGGGGGGGGAATGAGGCGCGGGGGGCGGGGAATGAGGCGCGGGGGGGCGGGGAATGAGGCGCGGGGGGCGGGGGGAATGAGGCGCGGGGGGCGGGGAATGAGGCGCGGGGGGGAGCGGGGAATGAGGCGCGGGGGGCGGGGAATGAGGCGCGGGGGGCGGGGAATGAGGCGCGGGGGGCGGGGAATGAGGCGCGGGGGGGGGGGAATGAGGCGCGGGGGGGCGGGGAATGAGGGGGCGCGGGAATGAGGCGGGGGGGCGGGGAATGAGGCGCGGGGGGCGGGGAATGAGGCGCGGGGGGGGCGGGGAATGAGGCGCGGGGGGCGGGGAATGAGGCGCGGGGGGCGGGGAATGAGGCGCGGGGGGCGGGGAATGAGGCGCGGGGGGCGGGGAATGAGGCGCGGGGGGCGGGGAATGAGGCGCGGGGGGCGGGGAATGAGGCGCGGGGGGCGGGGAATGAGGCGCGGGGGGGCGGGGAATGAGGCGCGCGGGGGCGGGGGAATGAGGCGCGGGGGGGCGGGGAATGAGGCGCGGGGGGCGGGGAATGAGGCGCGGGGGGGGGGAATGAGGCGCGGGGGGCGGGGAATGAGGCGCGGGGGGGGGGAATGAGGCGCGGGGGGCGGGGAATGAGGCGCGCGGGGGGGGGAATGAGGCGCGGGGGGCGGGGAATGAGGCGCGGGGGGGGGGAATGAGGCGCGGGGGGCGGGGAATGAGGCGCGGGGGCGGGGAATGAGGCGCGGGGGGGCGGGGAATGAGGCGCGGGGGCAGTGTGATCTGTTAAAGTACATCAGTGTTGATTCAAATCCACAATCTTGCTCTGGTGGTCATACATCTGTCAGCCATGATGAATATCATGAATAAACGATCTATCCCGGGTTCGCACCGGATCGGACTTCACTTGAAGTCGCACGATTTCAAAGTCGGACAGAAGTGCGACTCGGTGCGACTTCATGCGCAAAGGTCTATGCAAGTCGCACCGCAAATCGGTGAAAGTAGTGCAGGAACTACTTTACTACAACGGTTCCATCGCCAATCATTGGATGTGATTTGAGCGTTCAAATCACATGACAACTTGCATCCGTGTGAACTACGGCTCAGAGTCCATCACATACAACATTGCAATCAACATGGTAACAGAATGGCTGGAAGGTATAGAGCCGATATCACACGGCGTGTTCACACCTCGGACTCAATGACCGCACTGTAGCACAAAGCCGCGTATTTCTCCAGAACGCACAATATGGATAACCGGAAAGACCGGCCCGGTCACTAAACATCAAGGGGCTTATAAGGGTTAGTTCACCTTTATAGAAAAAAAACAAAAACTGCCTATACAGGTAAGGTGGGGGAGGGGGGCGGGTCTGACCTCATTTTCACAAAGATATTAAAATAGAACCAGAGTTGGGTAACAAACAGTGAAAAGGTCTGGGAGATAAAAAAAACAAACAAAACCAAAAACAATAAGTAGAGCGACTTCGGGGACCTAATTTGTAGTCTGGAGGAAAGGAAGGACTGGAACCTTTAAATCCATCAAGAGGGTGAATGGGGTTCAGGGGGCGGGATTTCCAATACGAAGCCGAGATGGAGAACACGGGGACCTCCAAACCATAGAAAGTATTTCCCTGGAGGGTAGTTGGTCCTCGGAACAGACTGCCAGCAGAGGTAGGGGGTCAGGCAGCAGTACTCGGCTTCAAACTTGCTCAAGTCAAAGATCTACAGACAGAAATCGTTCACTTTTCTGTATCAAAGCAAACTGCAGCTCCAAGGCGCGGATCACACAACTTGCAGGTTTTTGCAGAAACGCACTCCAGTCCATCTAACATGGCTTCTGATTGGTCACATTCCCATCTATGCGTTGCTCAGCCTCTGCGTTTTTGCACAAGGAGGATCGGGCACTTTTTTAAAAATGCAAAACATTGTGTGTTCGGTTCAATAGATGTCAATGGAGACACTGCAAAAAAAAACGCATGTGGTGTTTTGCATTTTTAATCTGCCCAAAAAAAAAAAAAAAATAGCAAAATGCATAAAAAAAAAAAAAAAAAAAAAAAAAAAGTGTCATATGCAAAAACACAGCAGAAACGGATGAAGTGTGAACCAGGATACAGCTGGATAATGTCCTAGGTGGAGGTGCAGGTTGTGTACCTCCCCAGAGGCGTCCCTAGGGTTGGTGTCACCCGGTGCGGTAACACTTAGTGACACCCCCTTCCGACGATCCCCGCAGAATGGATCAGACTCCGATCCATTATGCTCAATCCACAGATCCGATGCATCCTGCGGGGATCATCGGCTTTCTTTACAACTTACCTTTTTGTGGAGCAGGTCTGGTGTCACCCGATGAGGACCGCAACCCCCGCACCTGCCTTGGGACACCACTACACCTCCCAAAGCCTGACTGGAACACTCCCAGGATGTTGCTAGTTGAGGCCTAGTCATTACTGCTCTCCTCCACCGTCACAGGAGGGCGCTCTCAAACACGGAGCTCAGAGCTACTGCATCAGGGAAGAGAACGAATATGTGCGGATAAATCAGAAAGAGCGCCCTCCTGTGTTGGATGTGAGCAGTAATGACTAGGCCTCACTTAGCAACATCCTAGCAACGTCCTGGGAGTGTTCCAGTCAGGCTTCCGGAGGTACATAAATGGCTCCACCTATAGTAAGGACATTACCCAACTTTAGTCAAGAGCTGCACACACTGATCTACAGATCCCCTCCCCCCCCTTACCTGTGCAGCAATTTATTGTAAAGGTGAGCGAACCCTTTCACCTGCAGTAATATGCACTCCACTATTTCCACAGAGAAAACCAGTAAAAAGCAAAATAAAAAAAAGGAACCAAACAAAAAGGAAACTGTTCTTAGAATCTGGAAAGGGAAGTTCTGACCGAACCCGAATCTCGGCCCACAAAGCGGCGAGTCTTACCGGTATCAGAATCTTTTTGATCTCCATTGGTTCCTACTGAGAAAGGCAATTTTCTTTTGGTAGTTTTTTCTTTCACTTCTTTCCCTCCATCACTTCGATCCAACTTTGGAGTTTTGTTTTGGGAAACTTTATCTTTATCCTGGGAGGACAATGGAAAACCATTAAATGGTGAAATCATTGCATGCCAACAAAGTAAATCATCAACCCGCTCAGAGGGAGCTGCATTTTGGGGGATTTTACCGATCGCCATCGATTCTTATGATCGTTTCATATCCCCAAAACCGATATTAAGCTGCTCATAAACCATCAGATGTTTCACATTTGGAGGAATGGGGCCTGTGGGGACTCATGGGAGAGCCAAGAAGTGACGGAACCCAAACCACGAGGACCACTGCCACGTCCGTCAGAGCCGGTATGGGACCGCCGCAGTGACACAAATGCTGCAGCACGGAGGGGAGGACACGTTTGTTTTTTCATTTACCCCCATAATTCTCCAACTTCTCCCAATTCAGATTTCCTTTCAACCAAAGAACACAGATAGTCTAAAATGAGAAAAAAACTCCGAACATCTCTGCAATACAAGTATCTTTCCCCAGGATTTGTCTGCCGCCCCCCTTCCTGCCCACGGGGCACCGTCGCCCCCCTTCCTGCCCACGGGGCACCGTCGCCCCCCTTCCTGCCCACCGGGCACCGCCGCCCCCCTTCCTGCCCACCGGGCCCCCGCCACCCCCCCTACCTGCCCACCGGGCACCGCCATCCCCCTTCCTGCCCACCGGGCACCGCCACCCCCCTTCCTGCCCACCGGGCACCGCCACCCCCCCCTTCCTGCCCACCGGGCACCACCACCCCCCTTCCTGCCCACCGGGCACCGCCACCCCCCTTCTTCCTGCCCACCGGGCACCGCCACCCCCCTTCCTGCCCACCGGGCACCGCCACCCCCCCTTCCTGCCCAGGCCAATTTTCAGCGCTGTTGCACTTTGATCGACAATTGCGCGGTCATGTAACACTGTACCCACATGACATTATCATTTGTTTCACACAAATAGAGCTTTCTTTTGGTGGTATTTAATCCCTGCTGGGGGTTTAATTTTTTGCTAAAGAAAATTAATACAGTCTGAAAAAATTTGAAAAAAAGAAAAAGAAAAAAAAAAAAAAAAAAAAAAAAGAAAAAAGAAAATCCACAATGGATAGAGGAGGGGCTGGCGGAGGATCCAAGAAAAGGAGGTTCACAGCTACTCTGTACAGTTCCATTGCACAGAGCAGTTAAGAGCGGTTTAAAAAAAAAAAAAAAAAATGACCTTTACATTCACTTTAAAAGGTAAATGTTTAGGTAAAAGTATTGTGTGCACTTTTTTGGTCTTTAGTTTATATAATAAAAAAATAATAATTAACCGAGTGAACAAATACTACCAACTGAAAACTGAGAAACATTATACAAATTTAGTTTAATTTGGGTACAGTGTTGCATGACTGCACAATTACTAGTTAAAGTAGCACAAAAATATGTCCTGGGCTGGAGCTGAAGTGAATATAGTCGTTTCTGAGCCCCCGGTACACCCACACACTAAACAGACATCTGGATTCTTTTTTCTCTTAAATGCTGGACTTTTGGGTCACAATATCAAAATCGCTCGAAGCAAATGAAGCCCGGATGACTTCATAAATGCCGCTGTCTGTGTTTGCGATAAGTGGCCATTTAGACAGCTGTAACAGTTCAGCCGCAGACGACGGCCCTCTCTATTAATTGGATAACAGGAACCAAATCGTCCCCAGAACATCAGTCTGCCCAGGAGAAGCGCAGGAAGTGGGATAAAAGGAAGAGAACGTTCGATCAGAAATATGCCATTTTATGCAAAAAAGTCAGCAATTCGATCCACAACCTGAACGGCGGCGCGGGTGAGCCTGCGCAGTTCAGGCGCGGTCTAGTATGAAATACTAATCACCGATTGCTGAAAACTGAAGAAGTCGTCTACAAAGTCACATTCCCTCCAATACAAGATGTAAAACGGATTCCATGTCCACGAGGGGAAAACACTTCACACACGACTAGTACTTGGCTAAAGAGCTTACACTTCAATAGTGCCATGCAGTTACAAGAGGAAAAAAAAAGGTAAAAAAAAAAAAAAGTTTGAGCACATCGGCTGCGGTCTGCCTGAAGATTGATCCGTCCTGTCATCCAAGTTCTTGCACTTTAGGGACACTTTATATTTCATGAACTGTAGCACTTCTCTTTATTCCATTAACCCCTCCCCCTCCAGAGGATTCCCCCCCGACCAAGCCATTTTTTTTTGCGATACGGCGCTGCGTTAATTTAACTGACAATTGCGCGGTCATGCAACGCTGCACACAAATGACAGTTTTTTTCCCCCCCACAAATAGAGCTTTTTCCCTGTAGTATTTGATCACCTTTGTGGTTTTTATTTTTTGCACCAAACAAAAAAAAAAAAAAAAGACCAACAATTATGAAACAAATTTGACCTTTTGCTATAAAACATATCCAATTAAATAATAAAAAATTAAATTGTCATAAATGTCAGTCAAAATGTCTCCCGCTCCGTGTCTTCGCTAAAAAAAAAAATCCCGATACGTGCAAATTAATTGGCTTACATGAAAGTTATCGCGTCTACAAATGGCGGTATAGATAACGGGATTTTTTTTTTTTTATACTAGTAGTAAAGGTGGCGATCAGCAACTCAGAATGGGACTGCGGTGGGCATTCTGACACTGTGTGTGGGGGGGGGGGGGGGGGGAACTGCCACTGACATCCTCAGTGACACCAATACAGAGATCAGTGCTAATAAAAAGCCCCGACACTGTACTAATGGCACCGGGCAGGAAGGGGTTAACATCTGGGGGCAAAGTTAACTGTGTGCTACCAGGGAGACATGCTGTGCAGAGAGATACAAAGCAGCATGTCCTTGATGATGTGTTTACACACAGGTCTCTCCCGTCAGCTTTCCCCGACAATCGCCAAGTGCTGGCCGGGACCTGATGATTGACATCTTTAGCCGCCAATAGCGGCACAGGACGGGCAGCATACCCAGAAATGCAAATCATATATATATTTTGCGCAGCCCTACAGCAGTACTTCTGAAGGCAAGCAGTTAAAGTTGCCTGAAAACCTCATTTATGAGTTCCAGCAGGATTGGCAGATTAGTCAGCTGAGTCCCAACAAAAGGACCACATTACTGGGAACTTATGAAGAGAAATCACAGAGATGCCATTGGGAAGGTACCAGTCCTCACACCGTCACCCTCACTGCACCTACCGAGTCCCCGGTACCCAGGTGGTGTTCTGACATTTCGAGGGGCCTCCTGCAATGGCCAGCACGGGACCTCACTGGCGAGACCCTCGCACCCAACACGCGTCAGTAATGGAAGCTCCAATATTTATATCCTGACAGGTTTCCATTCAACCACCAGGACCGTTGCTGGATCCTCGCCATGACAACAACAGTCCTGTGCTGATCAGTCTACAGGAACCCAGCCAACTCCGGCATCCTTCTCCTAACCCACTGCTATTGGTCCACAGGGACATTACATAGTTAGTCTGGCTGATAAAAGACAAAAAGTCCATCCAGTTCAGCCATAGAAAAAAAAAAAAAAAATATATATATATCCAAGCATGCATTTCTATATCCTAACCTGTATGGGGGGGGGGGGGGGGGGGGGGCTTTCCCACAATCCCCATGGATAGGAACCTTGGAAGGTACACTCAGATCCTCGTCCCTCCCCAGTGGATTCTACAGACAACACAAACCAATAGGGGGAATAAATGAGCGACAAATCAGGAAAACAAGGGGATAGATTGGGCTGAAGATGTGTTACTATTACAATTAATCCGGGATTTCTCTACACTCCATGAGTACCCAGTCCTTAAAGGAGGGGTGCGGGGGGGGAGTCCTTAAAGGAGAGGTGCAGGGGGGGGGGGGGTCCTTAAAGGAGGGGTGCGGGGGGGGGGGAAAGAGTCCTTAAAAAGGGGCGCGTGGAGTGGGGGGGGGGGGGGGAAGGAAGGGGTGCGGGGACAAGTCATTTAAAGACTTGTGTCCCGTGCCCCTCTTTAAGACTGGAGGGGTGCGGGGTAGGGGGACAAGTCCTTAAAGAGTGGAGAGGGGGGGGGGGGGGGGGGAAGACGAGTCCTTTAAAAGAGTAACTTCCCCTTTTGAGTGGAGCTCAGCTTTAAGAATAAGCTGCAATAATAAAATTTACTTTTGGGTTTAAAGTTTAATATTGCTTTAAATAGAACGAATGGCAAAACGTCATTTTGGGCAGTGTAAAGGGGGGGGGGGGGGGGGTTCACAACCCACTGGGATTTCTTTTGATTTTTCTTCACTTCCTGTCTCCTAGTCAAAATCGGAAGTGAGGGAATCCCTGGTTTCCACTGAAACTAGCGTCCCCATTAGAAGATTTTCCCCTACTAGTGATCTGGGGAAAACACATTTGAGATTTCCTTTTACTTCTGGTGATTCTGTTAAGCATGACAAGGAGGAAGAGGTGAATCTCCCTAATGGGGGTCACAGACAGCAAGAGAAACCCAGACGTTCCAATCCCTCTCCACCATCCAAAACGCAGAGCATTAGACTGTACTCTAAATGATTGACTTTTGTCTTAAAGGGTAAGTCCACCTTTTGACCAAAATTAATGCATTTTTTCCAGGAAAAATTTGCATTTATTTTTGGCTGCAGGAGCCTGTAAAGCATTGCACCAGCATTCAGTAGGAGGCTGGTGCCATCAGTCTCCTGCAGACCTGTCAGTGTATCTACTTGCCTGCAGAGGATGTGGAGATGTACAGACAAGCAGATATACTGGCAGGAAAATTCAATGAACTACCACAGAGCTCCACAGTGCCATGGCAGTTAATTGAGAACTACAAGCCGACAGCCACTAACGAGCCCCGCGCCCCTCACACTGGGGGTCGGTGGGAAGAACGTCCCTCACACTGGGGGGGTCGGTGGGAAGAACGTCCCTCACACTGGGGGTCGGTGGGAAGAACGTCCCTCACACTGGGGGGTCGGGGGAAGAACGTCCCTCACACTGGGGGTCGGTGGGAAGAACGTCCCTCACACTGGGGGTCGGTGGGAAGAACGTCCCTCACACTGGGGGTCGGTGGGAAGAACGTCCCTCACACTGGGGGTCGGTG